ATTATTTAATATTCAATATTTAATATTGTTTTCAAAATATTATTTAAAAAATTATAACTATTAATTTTCCAATAATTTATTATATATATACGAATATACATATATCTCTACAAAAATGAACATTAATTAACACATTATATAATAATATATATACATAGAAGATTAAAAAGAATAATTATATTTCATGACTAGTATTATTTAAGCTCTTTTTGATATAATTTATCAGTTCAAAAGTACAAATTTTTTATTTCGATATTTTTTTTGAATATATTAAATTTACAATAATAATATTTGTAAAAATACAAGTTTTAAAAAATCTATTATGCATTACGAATTAATAACAAAATAATTTATTTGTGTATTTAATTTATGAATTTTTTTTTTAACATTCATTAATTCTTCATCATTCAATTATTAAAAATTTTTTGATATAAATACTAAAATATAAACAATAATATAAATATAAACAATAATTTTTAAATTATTAAAAAAATACAATAAATAATAATTTACATAAATACTTTTTCTTTTTATGACTTACAAGCACAACAGTTCAATTGCTAAATACTTTGGTTGGATTAGTTGTCTATATTCTTATCAATAAAGAATAGACACAATCCATTATTTGCCAACTATGCATGTTATTTTTAGTATTTTTTATATAACAATATTATCTACATTCTATGTTGTGTTAAATTTCAATATTTATGAAATCATCAGAAGCATATCTCTACAATGCTTTTGTTTGGTGATTCTCTTTGGTCTCGAGACGAGACTAAAGATAGCATTATTTTTATCATTATATTTTGAAAGTGCTTTCCATTATATCATATATGTCATAAATATATTTGATAATCCAAATATATATTCTTGAAATAATAATGTAATATAATATTATAATAAATTAACAAATGTATAACTTATTAATAAATATACATATAAATTACAATCAAAGTTAAAATTATTGTAATTTATGGACAGATTAGGAATGATTTTCTATCATAAACTTTCATTTTTATAAAATTTTGTAAAGTATAATAATACTATATAACATATAGAAATGAAAAAAGAAAGTTAACAAAATTATTTTGATATCAGAATAATTTGGAGAAGTATAGAAATAAGAGTAGAATATTATTAAATATTATAATAAATATTATAAGTATTATAATAATATACATTACAATTTAAAATATAGAATAAGTTTCTAAATAATCAGTTCAAATTTGTATGAAAAATTTGTATGTAAAAGTTGCAAAATACTAAAATACTACTCATTATATTTAAAATATTATATCAATTAGTCTTGAAATAATTTATTATAATGAATTTCAAATACGTGATTAAAGTTAATACATTAATCAAATTATGTTCCCATATATGGAAGAACTATTGTATACTACTTATTTTGTATCATTGAACATACATTGGCAGTTACCACATTTGATTCAGTCTGAAACAATATTATAACTCATTTGAGTTGTGCTGGCGTTGAAGATCTATCATAAGACGGTGGCGCAGGTAAAGCTAATGATGGCGGTAAACTGGTAGTACTTGTCAGAGTAGAATCCAATTTTCGAGCTTCATGTTCTAATAATACTGCGTCTAATGATGGATCTTGCGCTACAGTTCTTAAAGAATCGCCTAAGGCTTGTCTTAATTGTTGCATTTCTCTACCTGCCCTTGAACTTCGTAAAACATATAATTGTCGACGTTTTATTTCTTGATTAAGTTGCTCGCGTAACAATTGTATCTATTATTATAATTTTATTTATAAATATAACTATTTATAAAAATTATAAATATAAAAATAAAAAAAATATTAATACCTGATTTTCCAAACGCAAAACTTGTTGACGATGACTTTGTTCTCTTGCTTCTAACAATTTTTCAGCTTGTAATTGAGCTGCTCTAAGTCTTTCAATTTCGCCCGTTCTATCTCGATTAAAATCAAATACGGAATGTGTATGAGTGTAACTTGATTTCAATCTTATAAGTTCAGCTTCTTTCTCTGCAAGTTGTGTTTCTAATCTACGAACTTTCAATCTTAATTCTCTATTTTCTTGTTCATAATGATCTATATCGAAACTTGTGCCTAATAATTCTGTATGTGCTTTCTCATAACGTTCATAACTTTTGCTACGATTAGTTGATTTAAATAACGATAGTTGTCGTTCTAAATTACGTTTATCAGCTTCCAATAATTTCATCTAAAATATATAAAATTATTTTATTATATTAATATTTAATATCAAATTATATTTTCATTATAAATATATATTTACTTTATCATTAAGTGCTTCCATTTTTCCTCTCATTTCACTTCTCTCTCTTTGTGCTATTTGTAATTGTCGTAATAATTCTTCATCCTTGTTTGTATTTTCTTCTTGTGTTGGATAGGCAACTATTCTTAATTGAGATTCTAAGGCACAACGTTGTACTTCATTATTTGCCAATTCATTTTGAAGACGTGTAATTTGATCTGTTAATATTTGATTTGTATGTTTGAGATCATTTAAAGATTGTTGCATTGATTCTATACGTTCAGATAAGATTCTACGTTCATTTTCAGCATTTGAAATTTGTTTTTGTAACTATAATTAAAGAGTTAAGTTAATAAATTAAATAGTTAATAATAATAAATATAATGTCTTTGTCTTTATAAATAATTTTTATAAAAATTTTTATTTATAAAAGATAAAATCTTAAGTCTCAAAAAGATAAAATCTTTTATAAATAATTTTTTTATGTCAATACCTGTTTGTTCTTTTCATTAGAAGTTTGCAAATTAGTTGTTAATTCCATGATATTATGCTGCATTGAATTAATTTCATTCTTTAATTCGTTTTCTGTAGTAGATGCCTTTTCCAATGCAAGATTTAATTGTTCTACCATAGATTTCAATGAAGCACAACGTTCTTCTAAAGTTGTCATTGTTCGATTTTGTGTATCATTTCGTTCTTGTAGTTTCTAAAAAAATATAATAAATGAGAAATAATATTCATAATGTAAATTAATTTTAATATAAATTAATTTAATATTTTGAAATTAAACATTATGTATTTAACATACATGAATATTTGCATCTTTTTCTTGGAACATCATTTGCAATCTTTGAAGATCACCTTCTAATGACATTCTTTGTAATTCTAATTTCGTAGCACGAGATTCGCTTTTACTAAGTTCCTCTTGTAAATTACGTTTTTCATTTTCTATTTTATTTAAAACTTGTTTTAATTTATCTAGCTTTTCCTGCATAATTATTAATTATATAATAATAATAATGAACTAGAAATATCTAATATTCAAGAATTTTCTCACCTCAAATTGTATTTTTTCTTCAGAATTATTACTAATTATTAATTCAAGATTGATAATCTTTTCGCGTAATTGCTCGCATTCTTCTGATTTTAGTTGTAAAGCATTTAACTAAAATAAACTTATGAGTAATGAAATAAATAATCAAAACAATATAAATGAATTTACCTGCATTTCATAGCCACTTTGTTTTTGAGAAAGTTTTGCCTCCAATGAATTTTTTTCATCTTGAAGCATTCTTATATTTGTTAATAAAGTGTTTATTTGTATATCAGATCTATTCTGAA